AATCGAAAACATTTAATTTTACAATTTAATGTAAATATTTTTTACATTAATTTTGAATTAAAAAATCAGCAATGGTGCCATATCTCAACAAAAAGAAATAAAATAAATAGCACTCCCTGTGTGCCGTCCTTATATTCAACTTTTGTAATCAATTATTGCTCATAAACATTTTGCTTTTCGTGGCAGCTGAAATTGTGAAGGCAGCGGAAGTTGGTGGGTGTAGCGGAAGGCGAATTCACAAGGAACTCCTGCGCACAAAACATTTTCGCCAGCGGCGAGCAGCAATGTGGCTTGTCATGGCGCCATTCAAGCGTCTTTAATGCCATATCTGTTGTCCAAACCTGGCGTAATAGTTGGAGGCGTGTCGGGAAGGGAGAACGCGGCCACATAATCAAATCAAGCAAACGCTTTGTTACAGCATGAATTATGGGAAATTAATTTTCCTCAACTGCTCGCAGCTTTTGTGGTAAGAATTTGATAAGTACGGAAACTTAATTAAAATAAACGGCAAATATATGTAACGGAAGTGCTGGTGTAGATATTCTGAAGAGCAACTACTGAAAAATTGAAAGTTCTTGGCAAAAAGTCGAGAGAGATTGTGGTTAGAAAAGTTATAGTGATTCGCACGCAGTCAATAGTATTGTAGTTATTACACCCAGATTAGGGTGTAAAAAGTTTGACAGAAGTTTTACCATCTACTAGGAAACTTCGCATACCCTATAAAGCATATATAAATATAAATAATCGGCATGACAAACTGAGTCGATAAAGCGTTGTCGTCTTTTTTTCTGTTGGTTTATACCCGAATTAGTCTCTCAGTTACTATGATATTGCTTTGAAATTGTACACACATTCTTTTCTCTCTAATAAGATGGATATTTGACGATACCATCGATATTGGACCATTACTTGATATAGCTGTCATACAAAATGACTGGTCGAACTCAAGTCTTTGTATGAAGAACTTTGTTATTTGATGAGATATCTCTACAAAATTTGTCATGATTTATTCTACAAGGTAGTGGTTTAATCTCCAAAGAAATTGTTAACATCGGACTACTATAGCATATAGCTGTCATACAAACTGGACAATCAAAATAAAGTCGCTGTATAGAAAAATTTTTTATTTGACAAGATATCTTCCCGAAACTTTACATAGACTATAGTCTAAAACAATGATACAATCTCCGCACATATCGCTTGGATCGGATAACTATAGCATATAGTTGCCATACAAATTGAACGATCAAAATATAGATAAAAATGTTTTTATACCCTTTTGGCTACAATAAATGTACCTATGAAGGGTATTACTGCTTCGTTGCTGCCGAAGCCATCTTTCAAAATACTTCAACAAAGCATAATAACTGTACTGCACATACACACAACTTGAGACCCGCAGCTACTCATGCTCTCAGTGGCAGTTAAGCCGTCACATGAGTGTTATTTAGTGTTATTAGACCATGCAATTTTGCCAAAATATCCCTATCAATGCAACAAAATCACAACAATACGCAAACATACATACAAACAATAACTCAGTGTTGATGAGCACAAGATTGGTGGCTGGTTAGCAGCAGTCAGGCGCGCAGACTATTTGGTTTGTTGCCAATCGACATATTAGCCTTTTTGAGAACACACACATACAAGCATGACTGCACACACATTTTATACGCGTGTGTGCACACTTATGCCGGTTGCACCCATAACGGATACATGACATTGGCACATATTTGCGGTGAAATGGGGATACACCCTTCGCCACACACACATGTAACTAGCCGTTACCCACCCACTTTGTCACTTTGTGGGCAAGTGTGTGTGTGTTTGATCATCGATTTGTCGCAGGGTTGCTTGGCTTGAGCGCTGTGCGGGGTTTAGGCTTGTTTACACAGTTGCTTAAGTTGTTGCTGTTGCTCTTCGCCCCTTGAGATAATTATTACTAAGTACTTGACATACCGTCGTGACAAGGCGGAAAAATATGATTGAGTTAAATGATTTGAAAGCAGCAGCGGAGGGAGGCGCAAATGCCTTTGCGGGTAGACGAACTGTAAATTTTCGCAATTAGAAATGATTATTTATTGTGCGGAAAAAGGGCTGTGAGAAGATGAGCTCAGCAAAGTGATTGTGCAAAACATTGGCGAGTAATTAAAAACAAAATTGTTTACCAGTGATGGCAGCTAACGAGTTTTTTGTGATGTACATACATATGTGTGCGTGCTGCAAGTATATGTCACATGCATGTACTATGTGTGTATGTGTGTTTAGGTATAAAAATATAAGAGAAAATACTCGCGCAAATGTCATTCTGTATTATTATATGTTAATTAGTGTATTGTTTATATGACACACACACACATACATATGTACACATATAGGTATAGCTTTTAATCTCTAAACTAGTTACTCACATATTAAAATTCCATTTATGGATGCGATATGACTGAAATATTAACTTTTCACAGTTATATTTTGTGTTTTAAATATTAAATTTATTTTCAAAATTAAAATATAAAATAATTTTTCATAAACCTATAAATTGAA